GTAAGGCCCACTGAGATATACAGTATAGCTCTTTTTCAGAGGCGACCTGAGGACAAATGATAGCCCAACGAAGTGGCTTATCACGTGGAAATTTATAGCAGCCAAATACTCGAAACGCATGTTTCTAAATGTGGAGGAAAGACCGGAGGACCTGGAGAAAAATCCACGCGACCACAGGGAGAACACGCAAACTCCAAATTTACAGGTGTCAGGGTCGAGATCGAACTCACGACCTCATGTATACCAGGCGAGGTAGTTAACATCGCACGACGACTGTGGCAGTAATCTAACTCAGACGTCAGGGATAATAGTGGTGTGCTCACTCCTGTGCCACTGCCATAGCCCAAACAAAAACCTGTTGTTTAGCATTTATATCGTGTGAATGATTAAATACCGGTTTCCTGTTTGCTTTAACCCCAAATCAGCTCCATGGGTCGGGTTTTACTCTTTCCGGCCACAAACTGTTGTTTGGAAGTTTGAGAGCTGGTGCCAAATGAACAAGATTGTCTCAGGCGAGGGATTGAACAACTCCCTGGGAAACAGAACAAGATATGTGAACAATTAATCTCCAGAAATTAATATTTTGAAAAAGGTAAGTTTACACTAACTAACAACAACAACATAAAATAAGGGGCATCTCACATTCATTCTGAAGGAAACATTTAAGTACTGCATTGTATCAAACGGAAAATAAATCCTGTATGTTATCACTGTAAATGTTTACCCTCATCACCAAGAGAGGAGCGATCCTCTGAGAGGTATAATGAGTCGGCCTCGCGCTTGGAGTGAGTATTTGCGTGTATGTGTGCATGTACGTACAGTGTGTGCCGATCTGGCCTTCATAGGTGCTGCTCGCTAACAGCACTTGCTCCTACAGTCTGTTACAGGTTTCACGAGGATAGTTGAGGTGCGTGCGTGTCTGTGCGCGCGTGCCACGTGTGCGTGTGTGCTATTGTGGCCACTCATTGCCCCCCTTCCGACTACTAGACAGCATCAGGACTCAAGGTAAGTGAAAATGCAACCGTTTTATTACGATTTACGTGACTTTATTTGATGTTATATTTGCTATACAGTATTTATTACATTACATGCAAATGTGCAATATTTCTTATTGGCAATCCTTTTGGTGACCCCTGCTATGTATAGTAAGGTGGTGGTTTTGATTGGGTCCTCAGATGGTTCTCTACCCATCGTTGGGGATGCAGCTTTGCGGATTGTGCGGTCAGAATATCCATTCCTCCTGAGAGCCTGTTCAAGCTCACTGGCTAGGTGGTGCTGGTCGGAGATGCAACGGGCCATATGGTGTAGTGTTTTGATGAGGGAATTCTTCTGGGCTGGATGGTGGTGGGAATCAAAGGATTGCACAAATCTTAAACAAACTCAAGATCCAAGTTCGGTTCAATACAGTACACAAAATCCGTGATTGATCCTATCGGTGAAGGATGCCATTCCGAACATGCAATGTCCTGGTGTCTATAAGCTGAGTTGTGTCTGCTGCAGCAGTCACATTGGTGAAACGAAGCGACGTGTTTCAGACCGGGTTCGCGAACACAAAGCGGATTTGAAACACAGCAGAACCAACTCCTCGACGGTGGCGGATCATTGTTTCAACGCTGTGGGCACACGCGGTGACATTGTGTTCTCCGAGACCAAGGTGCTCTGCAAACCCTCGGGCCACCATCAGAGATTTGTTCATGAAGCCATCCAGATATACAAACACAGACAAAACTTTCATCGAGAAGATGGATTCAGATTGAGCAATCATTGGAAGGATGTGATAAACCGCGTCAAGTTTTGACTGCTATGATTTTCACTCACCCACCCGTGTGTCTTGTTGTACAAGTCCATTTACTTGCTAATTTCTCCAGCCCCACCCGTCCCTGCACACCACAAACCCGCCTCTGCTCTCCCCCTGTGAACTCCTACAGCCAAACTCCCCCCCTTCCCTCCCGTGCCTATATAAAGCCACAACAGCAGATAATTTTTTCTCACCTGAAGACGGATGCTTGTGTTGCGACCGAAACGTCGTGGGTTTTCTTTTATTACTTTTTTCTATCCACGTGACTTTACCGAAAGAACCAGAGAGTATAGCCAGTGCCTCCCCAGCCATTGACCTCACCGCACGTCACTGGTTTCTCCGTGATGTAAACACAATGTGAGTGAATGAATCGCTCATTATTTGAAGTGGCGTGACTATGGGGTCAAGAGTGTTGACAACCTTAAATGGTGTGAATCTACAGTTGTGTGAGGCTTTCGTATATACATATTGGCTCTGCTGTAGACTGTCCAACATAAAAAAATGTTAAAATGTTTTTGTTATCAGAAAATACTCGTTGCTGCCATTCAGAAAACAATGCATGTGCATAATACAATCTGTAGTCAGTATAGGTCCGTTCACTGAATGTGACCTCCAACCATCTGTAATGACCCAGAATGGAGGGGGGGGGGTAAAGGGATGAGGCAGAGTAGCCGTGGAGAGGGTTCCAGTGGGGGTGGGAGCAGGCCGGTCACGTGGGCTGGTGGTAGAGAGGTCCACGTGAGTGAGGAGGGCTATGGCAGTGCCAGGCTGGGGACGGACGAGTGACAGCGAGAGAGAGAGAGGAGGCTGCATTTACGTTTTGTCATTGATCAAAGTGACTTGTTGTTGACGCAGGCAGCCATGGCTGAATGTGAGATGGCTGTGTTTGCGTGATGTTATTGATGAAGTTAGTTGGTGTCGATACAGGCGGCCGTGGCTGTAATTGGGCTTTGAATTGAGTGAGTTGGACGGTCGTCTGTGATCAGAATTCATGTTCGCGTGATATTCCCGACGAACAAGACGGGTTATTGCACATCCAATGTATTTTAATGTTGATGTTCAAATGCACTGATCTAATTCTACGTAACAAGGCAGATGCTGCAGTTTGCATTGTGAACACTGCTGTACACTGTGGCTCGTCGACACAAGTGGCGCGGTGAGGCTGTGGATGGAGACCGCGTGGAAAATTTGTTTTGGTCGCGTAAATATCGCCACGTGTGCTCAATGCGCATTTGTCGGAAACGCGTGAGGTTTTACGCGATGCTCCCACTCACGCTGCAAATGCATGGCCGTGAACAAAACAGATAAACAGAAACACGCACGACGGCATTCCTTGACTACGATAGCATATTCCATTCGTCTTCCGTGGACCGAGTGACGACGCCGCCATGCCTCTCGCCAGAGGCTTGCTGCATCCGTCCCTCGTCGAGGAGAAGGGAGAACACACGAAGAAGACGCGTCTCGTGCAGAGCTCCAACTCCTCATTCACGGAATGTGGAATACGAAGGTCACCACCGTGTCTATCCATGCCCAGACGGCGGCGCTGTGCGTGGGCTGCTGTACGTTGCTGTGCCAGCCCACGTGGGACAGTGGAGAAAGAGCCACTCACGGACGCTCCTTCAGTCTCTAACGACCTCACGACCGTACTTTTGTATTAAGTTATAGAGAATTAAATGGGGGTCACAAGACAAGCGGACCACCCTGTACACGGGGGGGGGGGGAAGTGATGGCGCTGTTGGAGGAAGTGGTGGCGACCTGAGGTCAATTTCCGACCACCGGTTGACATCATCAACAAAGTGAAATCGGAACCAGGCCAAGGTCCCTCCTTCACCAATTTGCGCTCACAAACGTGGTGAAGTATGGTCAAGCAACACCCAGAACTGACAATCGACAAAGGACTGTAAATTGTTGTTAACTTTGGCGACATCAACATTTTGGATTTCAGTTTATAATTATAAGCATGGACTCTAATATAATTTGCAAGGCTGAAGCTCTCTTACTTTACCGTTTAGAACATCTTTAGGATTTACATCAGTCAATATTCATCAGAAAATATTTTAATGTTATTTTACTCTTACATATGGTTTATATATTTAAAATATGAACACTTGCCCTCAGTAGTTACTACAGATTCAGGATGTGAACAAACTTTCACCGGATACAATTGAACAGGAAACCGCATTCATTCCAAGGCGTGCTTGTCATCACGCATATTATTGCTTCATACCCTGAGTGAAAAAAAAAGTGTCAAAGTTCTTTCCTGATAAATGAGCATTGAGGCAATGCTTGTCTCCCGTTGACAGCTCTGAGCCAGTGGTAGTAATGCCACGGGACTCTGCCAGGGACGCATGTCTCTACATCGGACAACCAACTGTTGACTTTCCCATTATGTGGTAGATATTTTATCGACCCCAGAGGGTTGATGGGCTGAGTTAATCTCCAAACTAGATATATTTCTAGATTTGAAGCTTTCGTGACTGCAAGGATTCATATTCTTGGGTGTTTTCGGTAAAGTCACGTAGGTAAAAAAATAAAATTAATAACAGTAAAATAAAATAACAATCGTCGTGATATTTATTTTATTTTACTTTTATTAATTTTATTTTTTTACCTACGTGACTTTACTGAAAAAACTGGATATAAACACGCAACTTTTGGATTGTGACCCAATCTGGTGATAAGACTTCCTTTAATTGCATACATTCAGAGTGAGTTGACAGAGCAGATGGGGACACGATTAAGATATGGAGGGAGATAAGAGAAATGTAGACACATTGTAGAGAGGTGGTGAGATGAGATAAGAATTGTATAAAAGATAGAGATTAATTGACTTTTATATAATTAGCTTGTTATTAACCATATTTATTTTAACCATCTTTGTGCACCTGGAAATTCAGTGCGCTTCATCAGCTGAATCTGCACTTCAAATACCCACCAAGATGTCATCAACTGCCAAATAATGGGCACCTTGGTCTAAACATGTCTGAATGGGTCTAAATAGGTCATTGCTAATGACCCATTACAAATGAGTCATAACCCATTTAGACCAAGTACTCATCCATTGGCAGTTGGTGACATAATGGCTGGATGCAGCTTGAGCGAAATGTTATAATTTGGTGTTAAACTCAGTCATGACAATTCTTAAGCAACCGGTGAGCGTTATTGGTCAGAATCAAATCATTACATTGGCACATATAATTAATATTTTTGAAAAAGTGAAAATCTTGTCAGGTGGTGGAGAGTTGGTATAAAACTACTTCATGGACTAACCAACAAACAAATATGGAGCTTAGTGTTAGCTTGCTATGCTTATTCGCATTTGAATTTTGGCAGATTTTTTATGAATTTCTATTGATATCATTAATCTAAGGCCCCTTGATCCACTTAGGCTTCTAAGCTTTGACTTGGTTTGCTAATGCCTGAAGCCACGACAGCTTCTTACCGTTCAACATTCCGTTGAAACATGATCTTCCCTACATAGCGGAAGACCGCACCTGTCAGTCTCCTCCCACTCTGCCGGTCACGATTTGGATTCGCTTTATGAGTCAGGATTAAGACAAGCCCAGCCTCCGAAGCGTCACTGCTCGTCAGCCCCACCAGCTGCCTACGTAGGAGCACAACGCCCTGTTCCCTCCTTATTTGAAGATTGGAACCAATTCTGAGAAGCGTCTCTGAACATCGCACCATCACCGCGAACATTTACAAGAAGTTTGATTGAGTTTTGCCTCACACACGGGCGATCCTTATTTGAGTCAAGATACCCCCGATAATTATTGAGAATTCATGGGCCGTTGGAGACCAATCGAATTTTAGGAAGGAAAATTCCAGGAAACTCGCACTGCCAAATCGAGTGGGTGGAAGAGCAAGCATTGTGGCCAAGATAAGTGATCCGGGTTATTCTCCCACATAAGAAGGAGCCCTGTGTAAGAAGTGGAAGTTAGGGGTGCCACTTGACACCACCATGGCAAGCGAGGCAGTTCTGCGGTACGCCAACATCAGCACTAACGCGAGCAACGACCATAAATGTATCACTCTGACAGACAACAGCACGCTGCAGTGGCTTCAGGGGGACAGCTCTCAAATTGTGCAGCCGATAATCTACATCATCGTCATCATCGTCAGCCTGCCGGTCAACGCTGTTGCCCTGTGGTTCCTCGTGAACCCCACGGTGAACGTGAAGCGCACGCCCTCCACCGTGTTCACCAAGAACCTGGCCGCCGTTGACCTCCTCTACCTGCTCTTCCTCCCGCTGGTCATCGTCTACAACTTCAACGGCAACGACTGGCGCTTCGGCACCGTCCTGTGCCACGTCGTGGTGTCGCTCACCTACCTCAACGCGCACTGCTCCATCTTTCTGCTCACCTGCATCAGCGTGGACCGCTACCTCGCCCTGGTGCACCCGGTCAAGTCGCGCGCGTGGAGGACCCCGAGGTACGCGGCCGCGCTCAGCGCCGTCATGTGGGCGCTGATGGTCCTCTCCATCGTGCCGGCCGTCACCGTGCAGCTGGTGACGTGCGTCAAGGGCCCGAACTTCGGACCGGTCACCACCTGCTTGGATGTTTTCACAAAGCAGGACGGACTGTTTCTGGCCAAGTATTCGCTGGGGTTCTTCTTCTTGGCCTTCCTCGTGCCGTTTGCTGTCACGGCGTTTTGCTACGTGGCCATCGTGCTCTCATTGAGGCGGCGCACGCGCGAAGGTGCCCGTCTCAGGGTCGAGATGAGGAAGTCCATCTTCCTCTGCACCACGGTTCTCACGGCCTTCTGCCTGTGCTTCGTGCCCGCCAACGCCACTTTGTTCACTCACGTACTGCGCATACTGCTGAAAGGCAACACGTCCCTCTACAATGTCTACAAGATCTGCTTGGCTCTGGCGAGCCTTAACACCTGCCTGGACTCTTTCGTCTATTACACGATCTCCAAGCCCTTCCGTCTGAAGGTTCGAGGTCTCTTGTGCTGCTGCGTGACGGCGAAAGTCAAAGAGCCCCTGGGAGATGATGCCAAATCTGAAAAAGGCACGTCTTCATAACCACGTGTGCAAAACGTAAATGTATCATAAACATGCATGCTGTTGAAATAAACATTGTTAGTTGTCAGTGATGTGTATGTAACACAAAAGTGAAAGCTTTAGATAATATTTCTCTTGCCTGTTTAGCGTTGTTTACATGACTACGTAAGCCTGTTTCCATTTCCCCCACTGTGTAAAGGGGTTTACAGGTTGATCCATTCATAGAGGCCCCACAAAATAGTGAGAAATTAGAGAAACCTTTATTTCAAAGCCTCTACAAGTCTCCCACCAATCTCAATATGCGTGTACACTCATTCAATACACTATCCGAGATAAGAGAGGAAGCCATCGCTTTCACAATAATCAGTCAAATGTTGATAAGAGTAACTCTATAAATCAGTAAAATATCTAGAAGTCCATCACCCTATAGATTGTGCACAAATGTCCGTTATGAATGATCTCCACTATCCAGATAGGATATGCTATTAGACATAGTATAAAGGATATGTTTGCGCCCTGACGATCTTATGTTAACATTAAACAATCATGCGAAGACTTTATTTGTGTAGTTTTTAAACCAGAATATGTATGTTGAACTTCTTTCGCACGTAGCCAACCCTGCTAATCGGCGGTGTAGATTGCTTTGCAAAGCAACCGTCAGTCCGGCTTCAATAAAAGACACGGCCACAATTTCCACACGAGGGACTAAACGTGGTTAATTATCTTGCTGAACAATTGCAATGACTCATGATGACCGATAGATTTTTGGGCGAGACAATCGGGGTGAGGCTTTAAAGGCGCATGTTCGTTCACGTAGCGCTGGAGTGGCTTCCTGTGAACAGAATGCGTCGGGGAAGGGGCAACACACAACGCTTGGCTAGCCAGTGTTGCTCATAGAGCATGACTTCCTGCCCAGTACAACAACAACACCAACCCATTACGGTATATGTTTAGATGACGTCATGTCAACATGCTGCATTACTCTGCCATAAACAAATACTACATACCAATTCCGGATGTACGTATGGGTCAGCTTAAGTTTATCAAACCTGATAATTGTTTTTTTTACCCTTTTATCTGGCAACAAAACTGACACCTTTTTTTACAAGGAGTCATGTTTGCATCGACCACAATACCTGCAGTCATAATGCAAACAAAAAAACATAACTCTGATAATGTATGCACTGTCCTTGAAGTTGATTGGTCCACACCCGAGACAGCTTTCCTTAGAGCCTAGTCTCACGTGGTGTTGGACCAGATGACGCCAAAAGGCCCATCAAACCTGCGCAGTGTACTGTAATAAAGTTTAACGCAATACGGTGGCGGTATCAGATCTCGGATTCAACCCCGTTCCTGCCACGGTCTGCCCGGGTCACACTTGCCGAGGACGGTAAACCGCACGCTGCTTTTTGTTTACCCCTTACACCAGGGGTGGGGAACGTCCGGCCCGCGGGCCGTATAAGTCCCGCGATATCATTTGGTCTCTGGCCCTGCCAAGGCAACCGCAGGTGGGACTCGAAATTCAATAAATCTAGGAGCAAACCTGGAAAAGCAGTTGCGAGTAGCAACAACATCATCAATACCAGCTAACATCACACGCCTCGCCAAAGAGAAGCAGTTACAGCCATCGCATTAGGAGCGAGTTAATTAAATGTTTAACCAAATATAACGGGCTAATTTTTAAGTGGATAATTTTTGTAAATATCCAAATGGCCCTTGGCAGAACAAAGGTTCCCCACCCCTGCCTTACACAAAGCGTTTGAATGTTTAGGGTGTGTAATAACGATCATGTTGGGCATTGCATATTTGCATTGCATATTTTTATTTATGTAAGTTGTTCTCGATTGGCCTTTATGTGAAATGTGGTTTATAAATAAACATTTATGTCGTTGTATCTTTGTTTCCATTGTGTCGTCTATTACACGACAAGGGACGTGCAGTCACTCAAGCGACAAGCCGCATGGCGTCTCGCGTGCCCCATCTGGTGGTTTCATCCCAAATAGAGATCCGGACTTGCCAATTGAAAGCGTCACTCTCTATCGCCCGCTGGGTTTCCAATTCGTAGCAGGAGAAAGAGAAGAAGAAAAAAACACGATTGTAATATAATTTCAATTGATCATTTGATATTCTTAAGCCAGAAACCACATATTCTGGCAGATGTGTTCCATCGGGAACAAAACACTTCGAGAGCTTAACACACAGTCGACTTTCGCAACCAATATTATCCAGAATAGAGGGGGCTTTATGCGAGATCGCGTGAATATTAACGTGTCGTTAAACCCGCCACTACCTGGCACAGCCAATTATTAACGTTTGTCACAGAAACAACGGATGCCCAGTCGTCACTAGTCTGTAATTAAAGATTATGCTGGTACTCTTTATCCCAGAGCTGCATCATAGGGTCGCATTAAACAAAACAAAACTACTCTATTATGTACTTCTAGAGCTCCATCAGTGATTCTGAAACGCCTATGTTGAAGCTGTAAGGTGTATGCTTTCTATTTGCTCATCTAAGAGCCCTTACCAGAATGTAAATGTGAAAATATGAGTTATCTAATCAGATGCCATATTATTTGAGAGCTTTATTGGTTCACGAGAGAACCTGCAATTCACATCTCATAGAGATGGGAAGTGAATGCAAATCATTAAAAAGTGGTTCTGACATGATGCTGCATTGCACACTAAAATAAATATTAATTTGGACTGCTGCGTTTTGCGCCATTTGTAAGAGTTTCAATTGGGATGTAGGTAAACCAGCATGGAGTGTGTTCACGTAAACAATTTGAGATAAGACCGTACAATAATTAACATTCTTTACAAATAATTGAGGTAGGCAGCACGACACCCTGGCTATCCTCAAAAGGTGAAAGTAACAGTCCTTAATTATCTCACTTATTTGAGTTTAAAGAGATAGGATGCTGTCTCTTGGGACCTCCAGACTTTTGGCAACCTTTCAAAATCAAAAGGTATACCCATCGATATCCCATACTGTACATTACTTCCATAGTATCGATGATGGCCAGTGATCAGGGAAGTGGAGGCCAAGGGAGATAATGCTCCGGAGAGGCGGTCGACTGCAAAAATGTCGTGTTAAAGTCAGCTCGAGTGAACTTAAACACACAAACTTTTTGTCGAATTGTACTTCTGATAATTAAATATTGGCTTGACTGAGACGAACATTATTCTCATTTGCACAGAGGGTAGGAAAGTGCTTCCATATACGGTATGGTCTAAAGGTCAGAGGTGGCATGACACCGATAACAGGATGGTGATAAATTTGCAGGAAATTGACCCTCAAAAAAGTGACATCTTTAATAACCATATACAATGCAGCCCTGGGATAAAGAGAGCCAGCATCATCCTTAGTTACAGACTTTTGTATGACCTTATTTATTATAGGCCATATAACAGCTTATGATATGAAGGGATAATAAAAGCAAGAAATCTTACATAATACATTCACATTCATCATATTATGGCTCTTTCAAACCCGACCACAGGAACAAATTAGAGCTGTATCTGAAATGAATGTGTTTAATGTTGTAATCGGGAAATGGTGAAATGAAAGAAATACTTTAATGCAAGCTGGTAATGAGTATATCTGTTATGCACACTTGCAATAAACACATTACCGCACATTACATAAATATCTAAATTATGAATTACAGAAGTAAATGAGAGTGGTTTGGGGTGATTTTGGAAAACTGACCTTGATAATGACAAACGAAAATGGTAATGTGGCTGAAGAGAAGAGTTTTTTTTATCTCCATATATTACCTACTGTGACATATGGACAAGTGAGCACTAATGTAGTGACGAGATCCGTTCACATGCAGGAGTCAGACGGTTACTCGCAGCATTAAACAACGAGGGATCGCAACAGCGTGGGGAGACTTTCTGCTGAACCAGAAAGAACACAGCGAGAGAGCTGTTACAACAAGAGGTTATATATGCTGGCCAAAGGGAGCAGAGGTGGCCATATTAGTGAAACCCCAGCCCGTTAATGCAGAGGCACCCAACAGGAAAATGCAACTCAGAAAGTCGGAGATAACAGCCAAACGGCGGGAAGGATGGAAGCACCACAGCAAGTTACGAAATTGCTTGGTTAATAACGTCCTTCCAATGATTGCTCAGCTTATACCCATCTTCTCGGTAGAAATTGGCTCTGTGTTTATATATCTGGATGGCTTCATGGACAAATCTTTGATGGTAGCTCGAAGGTTTGTAGAGTACCTTGGTCTCGGAAAAAAACAATATCGTGCGAGCCCACTGCATTAAAACAATGATCAGCCACGGCAGATGTATTGGTTCTGCCGTGTTTTAAATCTGCCTTGTGTTCGCGAACACGGTCCAAGACATGTCGTTTCGTTTCCCCAATGTAACTGCTGCCGCAGACACAACTTACTTTGTAGACACCAGGGTATTGCATGTCAGGAATGATATCCTTCACAGATGGGATCAAATAACGAATGTTGTGTACTGTATTGAATCGGACCTGGATCTTGTGTTTGTTTAAGATTTTGTAAATCTTTTTGGTAACACCTGCTATGTATGGCAAGGTGATGGTTTTGATTGGGTCCTCAGATGGTTGTCTCCCCATGGTTGGGGATACAGCTTTGCGGATTGTGCGGTCTGCGTATCCATTCATCTTGAGGGCTTGGTGTACGTGCTCCAGTTCACTGGCTAGGCGATGCTGGTCGGAGATGCAGCAGGCCCTATGGTGTTTTGATGAGTGAATACTTCTGGGCCAGATGGTGGTGGGAGTGAGGCTTTAGATAGGAATCCGTGTGGGTGGCTTTCCTGTAAACGGAATGTCCCAACAAGCCATCAGGCCTCTTCTCGATCAAAACATCCAGCAATGGTAGCTTGCCATCATTTTCCACTTCCATGGTGAATTTGATGGATGGGTGCATGAATATATTATTTCTTATTTTATTTTATTTTTCTACCTACGTGACTTTACCGAAAGAACCAAAGAGTATATAAACCCAGTCTAGTTTTTCTTTCTGAAAGAAATCCTGCCGGACAATATTAGAACTTCAACAGACTGGTTTGCATTTTATTTGTACATGGAAATACATGACCCCTCATTTAATGTTGACCTGGATTCCAATAATGTATTTGGAGCGCGCTTGGCAATAACATCTGAACATCTGAAAGCCCAGCAGCGTTTGAAGAACACGCCTGACTCTTGCTTGATGAGACCCGGGAAAATTGAAACATAGTCGGAGGTTTGCTTTTTAGACTTGATGGACAATAGTCGATTATTTAGAAATGTTTTACCGCTTTTAATTTCTACACTGACAAGCCACTTCGTTGAGATGTCATTTATGGCCAAATCGCTTCCGAAAATGAAGCTAATAGTTCAGTGGGCATTACCTGGTAAGATAAAAAAAATGTGTTGAGTTTTATTTGCATACCTTTGAAAAGTGAGGTTGTTTAACTTTTCCTATACTTTACACTCCGATAGTGTTTTCGTATCGTTGTTATTGTAACATCATTCCGTGTCCCTACTGGCCATCTGTGGGAAATTAACTGTACACAGCTCATCGGATTCCTCCTGCAGCCTAAATACAGATTCCTGATTCACAAACTCGATGAGCCGCCCCTGCTGGGACGTCTGTGGGGCGTTGGGGCGGGAAAGATCTTCATTAGCTCGTGGGGTTTCTCTCGGATCAATACATCTCGTGATAGAGGAATCTCGCTTGTTGCCTTATTCCGTGTTGAGCGAACGAATGGGATGCAGGTGACCGGGGGGGTGGTGGGAGAGGGGTGGGGGTGGGGGGAGGGGTGGTGGGGGGAGGGGTGGGGGGGATGGGGTGGGTGGGGGGATGGGGTTGGGGGGAGGGGTGGGGGGGAGGGGTTAGGGGGAGGGGTGGTCCTCGCCTCCCTTTACTGTAAACCTACGAGCAGACGCGCAGTCGCCCCCGTTTGCATTCCACAGCGCACACAAGCCCCGTCGAGACGCTTCCGCGCGCGCCCATTGGCCGGCGGGTTGCCGCGCGCCCCCCTCGCGCCGCCCGCCTCGAGCTCCGATTGGTCGGCGCTGCGGGTTTCGGCCAATGGGCGCGCGCGGTGGGCGGGGCGTCGCCTATGCGCTGTAGGGATTTGAGCGACGTATTTCCGAAGGTCGCCATTTACTCCCAGGCGCACGGTAAGGCGGCGACTCGGCGGTCGTCTTCGTACGAGGGCGAGTTAATTAACGAATGCTCGCCTCGTATTGTATTCGTTACCGATTGTAATTGCGTTGCGGGTTTTGGTCAAGACGAGTCGCGTTCACGGCGGTGGTGGACGCAAGACCGTAAAACGAATCGCACGAATTATGGCTGTTCTTGGCTTTTGTGCGCGCCCCAAGGAAGATGTGACCATTGAAGAATAAAAAAAAAAATCTTGGCAGATAGACACTAAAGAGACCACCGCACAAAGATATTGAGAAAAAAAAATTCTTTTTACTGAGGGTAACAAAAAAATGTGACTTTAAAGTTACGCTCAGGCGTGCCGCCATAGCGCTGGGGTGACGTCATGACGCATTTGGTTTAATAAGCGACATGACGTCATATATGGGAGATTGTTCTCATTAACGAAGCTTGACATTCTGATGGCACTGCCCACGTGGGACACACACATGATGACCACCTGGGTGTTGGAGTTACTCGACAAGAGCGGTTTAATGCGTTGCAAATCAATGGAAGAACCAGGAGCAAAATGTTCGATGTTGCCGTCCATGCCGGAGCAGACGTTTCGTTATTGGCATTAAAAGTTGACATTTATTAATGCTATCTTAAATTTGGAGCTTTCGTGACTGAAGGAATTACTCTTTTGGTTCTTTCGGTAAAGTCACATATAAAGATAAAAGAAATTAAATACTAGCATACGACATTTCGATTGCAACACAAGCAATCATCATCAGGTATAAATGAAATAGCAACAAAAAATCTAACCAGAAAACTATAGACAGACATATAAGCAGACAGATATCACCAAGATACATAGAGAGAGAGTAACACGGTCACAGAGAGGGAGATTGTCTCTGTGGCGAGGCCTTAAATAGACAGAGGGGGGCGGAGGCAGAGGGATGGAGGGGTTAGAGAAAAAATTAACATGTCAATGGGTACGGAGACGCGTGGTAGTAAAGTACGCAAGCTGAAAGAACCAAAAGAATGTATTAATGCTCATTTAACTGTCCCGAATCTAAAGTTACAAGCAGTTTGTTGGGAAAGATTGGGTGTCCATTATATTAAAGCATAATTGCGACCGTCATTGAGTGGTAAAACAGCATTGTCCTTGTAGTTTTTTGTGATGTTTTATTCATTTTGAGGTGTGTTGCTATCATTTGCAATTGGTATGCTGCAATGCGTTATTCGTCGTAGGCAGGCTGGTAGATTAAGCATAATATACATATGTATCAATAATAGGTATTAAAATGTATTGATACAGTTGAAAGCACATTGTTACAATATTTTGTTTCAATGGTGTCCTGGATAATACGAGAAATGCAGCGTACGTGCAGAGAGCATGGCATAAAACGTGTACATTTAAACGTGTACATGTAAACGTGTACATGTAAATGTGTACATGTAAATGTGTACATCTAAATGTGTACATGTAAATGTGTACATGTAAATGTGTACATCTAAATGTGTACATGTAAATGTGTACATGTAAACGTGTACATCTAAATGTGTACATGTAAACGTGTACATCTAAATGTGTACATCTAAATGTGTACATGTAAATGTGTACGGTAAAATATAGTGCAGGTACTACGAAAGTAAATGCAAAATGAGTGTGAAATGTGTAAAATGAAGAAAAAATTATCCAGAATAAAAAAAAACATTGTAATCCATCATCTTTAAGTAATTGGGGACTTAGGAGACATTCCGAGGTAATCCTGCATCATGGCGTCATCACATACAAACGACTACCGAATGTGGTGGCTTTACCATGCATGCAGTGTTCAATGTGCACCCGTTTGGTTTAAAATATTGGCTAATTACAAACACCAGACAGGCATAATCAGCCTCTGCGGCGGGTCAAGATGTTTGGTGTTTGTTTTTCTCCCATACTATGATATGATAAAAATTCCATTCAGAACTATGACAGCAAACAGTTCATGTGTCAGAAAAGGGCTCCTGGAAGATGTTCACGTAACTAATTCTGAGATTACTTCAGTTTACCTTTCTTCACAGTACGTGGTGCAACTTCCATCATGTCTTGCATAGGGCAAATCTAACATTTTAAAGCTGGCAAATGCAAAAACAAGTCAAACTCTTATATTTATTTTTATTTGGTAACACAGTTGAGACCGTCACCTTATTCGACTTAAGAACCATATTTAATCATGGGTGGCTGTGTGTTCAAATACAGGATCTTGGTCCTACCGATTTAATACTGTGGCATGGTCTTAGCATCGTGAATCACTCATCCACTTCCAGTTCATCGATTTTTGTGAATACTGCTCTTGACCGTTCATTATCAATATAAATTGACGTGCAGGGCAATAAAGAAAATGTCTTATAATGTTATTTTTTAACTAACCTACTTTTTGTGCACTCTGTGGATTATTCGTGTACAGTAGTTGGTCGCCAGGCATGGCGAGTGGTGCTGCTACCGCGGTGTTGGAAGGTCCCGCCATGGCCAGCACTGTGCTCCGAGGTCTCAATGAGCTGCGGATTCACAGCCATCTGTGCGACCTGACCGTTCAAGCCGAGGAAACTTGCTTTCCCGCTCACAGAGCTGTGCTGGCAGCTGCCAGCACCTACTTCTACAGCATTCTGCTTCCAGTCAATGTCCTAACAACGACAGAAGCTGGTGGGGTGGCTGACGAAGAAGTCGACAGCAAAAGCGCGTCGCCCGCATCGTGCAACGTGAAGTTGCACGATGCTGCCGCCACTGACTTGGCCGCCTTCCTTGAGTTTGTATACACGGGTCGTGTCGAAGTGTGCTTTGAGCAGGTCGGCAGGCTGCTGAGCCTGTCGGGGCTGATGCAGTGCGCAGAGCTAGCGGAAGCATGCCTGCGAGCCGGTGTCGGACCACTCGGCAATGCGCAACATCATTCCCCGGAGGACAGCAGCAACAGACACCCAGAATTGGCAGAGGCCGGTGCATCATCGCTGGAAATCCTGTCATTCCAGGTTGGGTCATCGGTGACGGAAGGAAGTTCCAGTGACCAAATTGGTTTGCACCTGAAAAAGGACACTGGGAAAGCTGTGAGTGAGCCGAATATCCGCAGCAATCGACTGATGGCCAGGGCCATGAAGGCAGCTGAAGCAGCACTGGCAAAGAAAACTCGGGTCAAGCAGGGTGGCAGCAAGATGGCCACAGAACTTCCAGTCCATCTCACTCAGGGAGCACTCCAGCAGCAGGAAGCTGCTCCCTCAGTCGCAGTCGAGTTAAAAGGAGCAATGAAGAGCGTCACTAAACACGAGTCTACGGCTGACGCCGGAGCAGCAGAAGAGTGTACTAGCATTGGAGAAGAACCTTGTGAGGTGGAGGAGGATGCCAGTGATTTTGAAATCTCAATTGACGGAAAGAAAATCAAACGGGGGAAGAAAACAGAACAGGAAGGTAGCGACGCAGGCCAGTGCGCAGGAAAGGTGATCGAGTGCACCAACTGTGACAAAGAGTTTCAGTACGAGAAGAGTTACATGAAGCATGCCTTGCAGGCCCATGGAATGGAGCCAGACATTGTGTACTGCTGCAGGGAGTGCGGGCAGACGTTTACTAACCGTTGCAACCTGCGCGCACACCTCCGGCATGTGCACAACGAGGACCGTCAGTTTGTGTGCGGCATCTGTGGGAAGCGCTTTAAGGTGTGGCCTGTGTGTTGTAATTGTGTACATGCTTTTGTTTACTCATCAGTCTTAGGCTAATAAATGTGGCATTTCGCAGAACTTTTGACTTTCTTTTAATTCAGATATTTTAAATGCCCTTTAAGTAGTGCTTTTAATGTTTCAGGCTTTTATTGTTACAATCTTGCAAATCTTCAGAGTGAGCTAGTTTATCCGTGAAATTATTATGAAAATATTTTGGCATTTACAAATATGGCTGAGTAGTGTGACAGTTGTATGTTTAATATTATTAAGTCCGAATATGGTGTGATGCACTAAAACAAAGGTTTATCGGAGGTACGAGAAATAATATTCCTTTTTGGTCAATTCTGCAAACAAAATAAGGCCCAGGTAAATTGTATTGCACTTATGTTCCTAATATGTGGGTAATTTGGATCTGCACAGGCAGACTAGTAGCAGTGTTGTCTCTCAATTGTAAGATCTAATCAATGCAAATATCACAACCCTTTTGGCCAAAATGAGTACAATCCCTGCTTTTGGGACTTAACAATACCAAACATCAAGTCAAGTTGATGTTTTAACCAGTTTAGAACTCATCACACCAGGACAGTCTAATTTGCAAGATTGACCTGGCTAACCAAGATGGCAAAATAAAAACATACAAGAAAGTTCTGCAATGAGGCATATAGAAATTAGATAAAATACAGCAGTCACAAGAGAAGTGAAAAAAATTGCACAAACATAAATTTACGTTAAATAATACATTTCTTATACCATGTAATCGTCTCGGGCTGATTATTTTTAGACTGTTGTACAATTACAATTGAGTTGCTGAAATAGTCCTTGCCTGCTGATCTGAGACTAATGCCTTGAACATGCTCGCACCTGTCCATTTACATCTCCGCAGCGTAAAAAGGATGTGCGCAGACACACGATTCAGGTGCACGAGGGTGGTGCGGAGCGTCACACCTGTCCCGAGTGTGGCAAGGGCCTGAGCTCCCGCACTGCCCTGCGCTTGCACGAGCGCACGCACACGGGAGACAGGCCCTACCACTGCACCGAGTGCGCTGCTCGCTTTTCGCAGGTCTCCTCCCTCAAGGTTCACCAGAGGTGGGTTCTTATTCCTCATCATTTATCAGCAGGGGTCATGGTCGATCCATTGGTGGGCGAAGGCCCCTCTCCCCAAGTTATAACCCTCTCACAATCCTGTGATACAACTGTCCACCTAGCAGCCGCTTATTTCAAAGCTTCATCTTCTTGCTTGGATGTCCTCTTCGAAGCATTTATTCCCTTGACTGCCACTTCATTATTATTGCTGACCATCGGACATGATCCCTTGTAGCGACGCAACTTCCCAAAGCCCACTTTTATTAACAGTTACAATGATGTCTTTAATCTGCGTATGTTGTCTGATCCGTGTGTTTCTATTTCTCTCCCTCAATGGATTCTGAATATCACTGACGATTCAATGTAACGATGCTGGCCTGGGAGGAATCGTGGTGCCTTAGTTTTTGCACGACGCTATGAATCTGGTGAACCGAGTTGGATTGCTAGCCACGAATATCAGTGGAGAGTGATAACAGAACTGGTAGTAGACGGATACTACAGTTGAAAACCGCTTACAAGCTTATCTTTTTATAGTAAATGATTTGCTTTGTATGGTACCATGGATGTTCTTTGTGAAGTATAGATTGCTATTATGTCCTCTGTTGACACCATTACTGTAGTTGCTTTCATGTCTGGTTGGCTATATTCATCGGCATTGCTAAACCGTTTGCTTGCACAATGTACACCGAATTGGGTTGCTGCATTTGGAGCACAGCTGTTGACTGGGCGCAAAACTGCAGTTGCATTTACGTCATTGCCCTGGACACATTATGAAATGTTTAATCGCAACACATTCTTATTGTGCTGTCTCATAAACACGGGAGATTTATTTATTAGCACATCCATGTAATTGTTATCGAGCATATTCCATAAACGTTATATTTATTTCTTACACCTCCCACCTAAGTTCAACCTCTTGAGCCCATTCCATATTTCAGTGTGGGGAGTTTTAAATGCGCATTTTATCGTAGTGTTTAACATTTTTTGTTTCATATTTCATACGGTTTCTGTACGAGTAACATGGAATTGATTTTCGTGGCTCGTATGTTTTTATCGCGACAGTCATGCTGATTCTTTGGTGTCCATTTTCTCCCAACAGGACACACACAGGGGAGAAGCCGTTTGTGTGTGAGGATTGTGGTGCACGCTTTACTCAGAATCATATGCTGATTTACCACAAGCGCATTCATACGGGTAGGCAGTCACAGTTGCACGTCACTGCACAAGGGCTACATTTATTTGAACGTATATTTGGTAAATTGCCCATATTAAGTTAACTGCCCCACCGCAGGAATTTGGCTTTGTTATGCTTTGTGTAATTAAATGGAATTAAATTTTATTGATTGTAGTAATATCAACCAATGGAATCTTGAGATTTTTCAAATGTATTATTTTTTTACCACTTAGAGAATGTATGCATCCATAGATTCGCATTGAAATATACTTTTTTCACAATATAATACAGTTAAAAAGATATTTTTTTAAGATGTATCATTTACACCATTATTAAGTAGTCGTTGGAGTTGAACATAAACCACTGAAATACACAACCATTACCATTAATGTTCATTTACATGCTTATTTAAATATATATTTCATACAGTTTTCACTTGTCTGTAAAATGTACACATTGAAAAAGCTAGGTTTTCTGTTGCTTGAAGCCGCACTGCTAGACACTGCTTCTCAATGTTGCAGGCGAGCGCCCATTCATGTGCGAGACTTGCGGCAAGAGCTTCGCCTCCAAGGAGTACCTGAAGCACCACAACCGCATCCACTCGGGCTCCAAGCCCTTCCTGTGCAACGTGTGTGGCCGCGCCTTTGCGCAACGAAATTCTCTGTACCAGCATGCCAAGATCCACACGGGTACGATCACATCTACATCAGAAACTCACTCGCTGAAACTCAACACATTTGTCAGCAACGCTGCCCTGAAGCAGGAACCAAAATTACAGTAGGTAACGTTTTAGGCGTTGGCCATTCTTCATAGCAGACAGATGGAGAGGCCATAGACACGGCGTGAATATTTGGAGACTGCACTATCCAACATGGGGCCCTAATAGAAATGTGTAAGAGTTTCTAGATGACCCGTGACATGGCCTAGCAGCAGCGCGTTTTCCGCTTGTTACCAACGTTGACTGTTCAAATCCAGCGGCCACTCTTATTACTGTGGGTGTAACAACCATAACAATACCTGTCTGCTTCACGGTGGACACTTGAAGATCATCTGACGTCGTTCGCGAGAGCAGACACTCCTGCGAATCGGGGTCGAAATTTCCCAAATTTTAAAGTTACCTGCAAAATGTCTCAATTGGAGCTATAAATATCAATTATCACCCCTTACTGGCAGACTAATACCCCAGCTCATTGTTGCAAATGACATGATATTGGTCTCTTTAAGTTCGCACCTGGTTAAACAAAAATTACACTTGAAAATGTCACTTGAGCAGTCAGAAAAATGCGTAAGAACAGTTAACCGTGAGTAGATATTTAGTAATAGACACTTTTAAAACGTCAGGATATGTCAGCATAAGCTCATTCATGTTAAAGTAAAATTGCCTAAAGTGACTGACACATTGCATTCTGGTTACCCATGTTAGCGTGGTCTTTTACTGGCTCCTTTTGAGTGTTGGTTGTATTTATTCATATCGGTCTTTTCAAGCAACTTATCTTTATTCTTGGTTCTTTCGGTAAAGTCACGTAGAAGGGAAATAATAAAATAATAAAAATAAAACAATAAAATTCTCACGACATTTTGATTGCAACATAAGCAATCATCATAACCCTAACTACGTGACTTTACCGAAAGAATCAAGAATGTGAAACCTTGCAGTCACGAAAGCTTTAAATCGAAATTCAACATATCTTTATATCTGTACCACAAATTTTCTTGTGGTGACTGAATGGCTGTAAAGACAAAAAGTACGAGTCGTTTTGTTTTCCATATATTTTGCTCTTGAGAGTTAGGGTCCTTATCCAGTGCAAGTTTCATTCTTCACTGATAGCCAGTGTTCTAAAACAAATGTTAAAACAGACTGTGTCCAGATCAATATTGTATCTGATGATCAAATTGCACAGAATGCACCTGCTCTCATCAGATCTCAGGAGCGAAGTAGAGATGAGCTTGTACAGTGCTTGGATGAGCGACCGCCATGCATACGTCAGGTGTTGGCTACTGAGGCGTGCTATATTGTCAGAAAAGGACATTGCACAAACATCCATTGCACTGTGCTATGCTCCATCTATGCTCCCCACCTTCACCAGCTAGCACTTGTCAGCGTAGAGAAATATACAGCAGTTAAATAATCCATATGACCCACACAATGCAGAGGGAAGGCCTTCATCTGGCATCGTATTGACACACGTACAGGTTCGAATTAACGTAATGGGCGAGTTGTTACTTGGATGCTGTGTTGTGTGCGAACAGGAGAGCGGCCGTACTGCTGCGACATGTGCGGGAAGCAATTCACACAGCTCAATGCGCTGAACCGCCACCACCGCATTCACACGGGCGAGAAGCCCTACATGTGCAACTTCTGCGGACGCACGTTTACGGACAAGTCGACGCTGCGGCGCCACACTCTGGTCAGCAGATGGGGAGACCGACTCGATCACACTTTGCACAGCAAGCATGTAAAATAAATACATGGGGATACGTTTTGCATTTTAAATTGATGCTTGATTTTATTTCCATTTGGAGTGGTCGTGCGTTTTAGATGAGTTCGTAAATGTTATGTAGCTGAGGTTTCGGCGTTTTATTTGTGTAAAGTGTTGAAAAATATTAATACCAATTCTTTTATGACGTCGTAAATGTATGAATATAGCTATCTGCCTCGTCATCATATTGGGCTCTACCATTTAGTGTTAGGAGATATATCCCCACCTACGTCCCTTTACCGAAAGACCCAAAGAGTATGGATTCCTGCAGTCACGAAAGCTTCAAATCAAGATACAGCAATCCGAACTGTATTATTCACATGTTAGGACTAAATCTCGTGGGGATTCCCTTGTGCCATAATAGGCACGTGACAATATTTGCCCAGTTGTCACGGTGATGGTGCAGCCCTGCAATTGCTTGCTCACGACATTGTTGGCCAAAGGGCCTCCATTTGACGGAGCTCTAAGAGATCTCCTTTTAGTAGCTATTTTAGCCTACTCTTCCACGTTGGCCAGACATCTTAAAATGTTTGGGGGGTACACACAATTTACCCCACCACTCGCGACCTACCGATGTAAAAAATTGCGATATACCAACGTATACTGTTGTATCCTAACCATTACACCACACCATCGTCTTCGCCCAGTGGATGACGTATATATTGTGACATCCAAACCTCACAGGTACACGACAAGAATGCCCCTTGGCAGACCTTCCTGATGGTGGTGGACAGCAAGGACAAAATATCGGGCCGTGTGCTGCGTAGCAACAGCACAGAAGGCGACTTAGAAATCCTCACGCCACTCGCAGGCGAGGACGCGGGCACGCAGTCCGGCGAGCACACTTCGCCAGCACAGCTGGGCGTCCCCAAGTCCGAAGAGTCGGTCTACATCGAGACTATTGCGACCGCGATGCCCGGTGACGATGGCCAGCGCGATGACTGCAGCACATGGCAGATTGTGACGGTGGTGGGCACCGACGGGGAGAGCCTGCCGATCGAGCCGATGCAAACAAACGTCGTGACTGAAACGGAGCCGCCCACAGAGGCCAGAATTCTGGAAATTACAGCGGCCGGACAGGTGACGGCCGTTCCGGATGCAGGCTCTGCTGCCATTCCCATCATCCAAGTGATGGACATGGCGGTGCTGCAGGGCAGTGGCACTGAGGTGATAAGCCAGTCTTTGCCGATGTAAGGCTGGCCACATGCTCATCATACAAAGCAGCAATCTTGTTGAGGTTGAAAGTGATGGCTGCAGTGTACAGTGTTAGCTGAGAAGTACGATAATTCTGGACGTATACTGTAGTGCAGTTCACTATTCGGAATATTTAAGCAATTTAAGTTGGTATGCATTTAAAATTTTATATAATGTCCAGCAGTCAATGGGTGCACTCAACAAATGTTATCACGTAAGGCATTTTAATGTCTTAATTTCTCGTGAACCTCATACATGCTGTACTGGAATGATATTTGAGAATACATACGTAGCAGTATTGAAGCAACAAAATGGATTATAATTACCGATGGTCTATGAACTGCTGGATGAAGACATCCGCAAGTCATCATACCTCAGGCGTTGCAACAATCCATTTAGCTCCCGCGCATGAGCTGATCTTATCTCCATCTCCGCGTTGAACGTCCTTTTGGGTGTGTTATTCCAGCTGCCGCCTCGTTCTCAGTCTCTGATCCACGTGTTTGCTTACTGTCTCTTGGTGTATTCCAAGCATGCACCTCTCCATGATTCTTTACAAACGAGCAAGGCATGACACAGGTGTGCGCATGGGATAAGTACGTGCAGATTTAATATATCTGGCAATAATATATACACGTGTAATACGCATTCCACAATAAAGATATCAAACCTTTCGGGAGAGGTTAAAAACCATGTTCTTATAGTGCCTTTAAGGCAAATTATAAATATAAGCAGGAAGATCATGGTGATGTTAAAGAAGAAACATGGTGTATATTGCAATAACCACAGGAAACTATTATTTTTCAAAAACATCTTATGCTGTTCCCTCACTGCTGATGACTCAGAACAGATAGGGAATAATTATCGTAACTACTCCTGATGTCAAACAACAAATACCAACCATATTCCTCGTGCTGTTGAAAAAAACTCGTCACTCGTAAACATTAACTTGTTCATTCCGTTGCACTTGTTTGCAAACGGGATGTGACTTGAAGAAATGTGAGCCGACCCAGATTTGGCCTTCCATGTTTCACATTCATTCTCACACGGCTGCCTTTTAAACATCACTCTGCAGCTAAAGAACTCATTTGGGCGTTCATATAACGGTGCCCGTGTATACGTTCAAGGAACATGGCTTTATTAACGAGGTATGTAACAATGCATCGATTTAAATTTAATCTTTTCTTGACACACCGAATCATACGCTGAAAAATCATGTATTTACATTTGCGATCATGCACTGAAAAATCAAGCCCAAACAAGATAATACAAGTGGTACAGTAGCAATAAATAAGTCAATAGAATTTGGATGAAGGCCATCTCATGATCTGACCAAATTTATGTCGTTAAGGCCCTCCACCACCACCACGCACAGTGAAACTAAACAGTTAAGTGTAATAAACTTTTAACACTTAGTATAATTTTTTCGTCTCATGTAAGTTTAAAATCAATTTTCGCAAGCAAATTTTAAACCCAAGTGTTTGGTAAAAATTAGACCATTAAATCTCACCACCATGTTTCTGTGATTTTTTTTAATACCAGGATGGAGGTAATCGATTACATACCCAATCAATGCTGCCCCATTAATCTAAAAACTTTCAGAACTAATTTTCTTTCAGTTCTATGGCTCATTATGTATAAGTGGAATCATCTGTCTATTACAAAAATAGTACTTGTTTAGATTTTGAAATTTGTAAAAAAAAAAACTGCCCTGTTGAAAATATCAAGTCTTAAAAGAAAATAATGTGTTAATGTATTGTCTGTAGTTAGCTATATTCATCATAGTGACCAAGATAACGTGGCGAAGGTACGCATGTTGTTTTGAATTTCATTTGACTACTTATTGTGAACAGACTCCTTATCCATCTGGCCTACCACATCTGAAGTTGTCACCGTAAAAAAAATCCAATGATTTTTTACATTTCAAAGGGATATATTAAATACAAAGGTTATCCCTACAACTCGTGCCCACTTCCGGACCCAACACTTTACAGGCAATGTTAGATGAATAACGTCATCAGGTCCCAACTCTCTTGACCCAGGCATAAACATGATCGCTGAGTGAATATGACTACTTGACATATGACCGTGTGCAGCATACTCATTGTACCCATTAATTTATTTACTTTGTCAGCTATGTATCAAGCTAGTTCATAAATAGACCATCCTAAAAGCTATTGGACACTTTGTTAACTGTACAGTACATCGATGTATAGTTTATTTTGGGTTACGTCATCATTTTAACAACCCTACACCGCCCCCCAGAGCCAATGAAATGAAGTTGTCACGTGGGTAAATATGCCAATTGATTTTGTTTCACAGAAAACCAGAATGTTGAAAAGCAGAAAGCCACCTTTTGTTCATGCCTGATCCTGGGTGTAATTTTCTTCAACATCATGTTCAATTCTTTTTAAAAAATAAGCTTGCTTTTCAACACCCTGTTTTGCTGAAATACCAAACCAATTGATGTATTTGTCTAAGGGACAACTTGATTTATTGGCTCTGTCGGGTCGTGGCGGGTTATTTAAAAAAAAAAAGCTATATAATGCATTATACCTACACGATCAAACCGAAATGAATAACAATAACAATGGTGGTAAAGGTATGTATAACATGAACTGTGCACTGTTGATTAAAGTAAAAATCATAGCAGGTTATGTTGGCTAGAGAAAACACTAAACAACGTACTGACCTGCACATGTCTATTGTGTTTCTTTGGACAAAAGCTTCGTTGAAGTGCTGCGATGTTTACAAATGAGTTTTAATGAGGTCATCGTTGTGGGCATATGATGTGAGAATCTTGTGTTATGCATTCTGTTTTGTGACTTTATTCAGTTTAATCTATGGAGGAAATGTCGTAATGAAAACGTATCGATGTGAGCATCATTCATTCAGAACATCTACTTTGGAGGTGGCCGGGTAGTTTGAGCCAAATACCACATCAAAACAATGAACATTCATAACAGAGATCATGGGTTTGAATCCAACCGTCTGTTTTTAAACCAGGTCCATTGGTGTAGTGACTTAATGGTCTAATTATGGTCATGAATGATGATACATACCTACGAGTTGGACTTTGCTTGAATTATTTGTTTCCAGTTGTTGAGAATTAAACATATCAGGTGCCTGATATTTAACCCTATTTATAATAGGTTTGTCCCGTGGATAAAGCCTATGGACAGAACTTGAAAAGTGCAAGGGTGGTTCAGTTTCACTTTAAACTATCATGAAACAGTAAACGAATATTGGCGCACTGCTCTTATGTGCAGTTGTGCATGGGCATTATCAAATTTGATCATAGTAAATGGCTGCAGTCTGGTAGTAAAACCTGCAAACGGCATTGAGTATCTGGATCATACCTCATTCACTATGCATTTACTGAATCCACAGCGGTTACAGAATTCTCACTGAAATAAACCACCCTTGCAGTTTCATGTACAGGGACTCCTGTACTTACAAACGAGTTAGTTTCCAGAGGTGTTTTTGTAAGTGTTCTTAAGACCAACTTTACTTTTGTCGATTCCAAACGTGTTGTACGGCATGCACGCTAAACATGGTGAATGGCTTTAAAAGTTGTATAATCTCCTGTAGATGCCACTGGTTCTTCATGTCTGCAGATGTAATGCCACCACGCTCTCTATTGCACGGCGATTGAACTTACGACTCTCGATCCGTCGAGGCAACTGGACATATTTGTTCGTGTCTCTGAATGTTTGTAAGGAGAGGAGTCCCTGTAATTTTCTCCAGCTGTTTTCTTACAAGCGCTGCCCGCAGTTGCAAATGGATATTCTGATTTGACATGACACTGCGAGCACATTTGGAGGAAAGAAAGGTATATTGTGTGAATTGACTGCACTATAAATCCCAGTAAGGGAATTGTTTGGGAATCGACACAGCAATGTGGGTCTTGCAGCTGACGCAACACCGTTTGCAATTAATCTCACTTGGGCAGTTTGCAAATTTTCAGCTTCAATGATGGTGTTGACATGACTTTGTGCACACATATTTGCTATGACTACTTGTCTAGTAACAGTATTCTGACGATAATTGATTACAGGGTCCAAAGTTTGTCATGCGTAATGTTCCTTATAACAAACCTGTAGTAAATTATGGGCACACGTAAAAACATTCTTCAAATGTCGCAAATGTTTATTTGAATTAACAGTAATTTTAAACTTGCCGTTTTGAAATGTGACAGGCTCGTGTTAAATAAAACATTGTTTTTCAGATCTTAAAATGAATGTAAAAGTGCAGCCCTGCAACTGCTTATTTGCACCACTGCTGGTGGCCTTTTTTGTGCTGGACAGACATCTTGGAAAAAGTGGGAATATCCACACAACCCTAGCACCACGTCCATCGCTAGGTGGATCGAGGCATGTGGGATATAAGAAATGTGCCCATTGTTTATCACGCTGGGAGGTCTTGACCAGTGACCTGGCTTGCAAGTGCATTCTAACCATGACAGCATCCAGAAAAAAATATACAATGCAAATTTTCCTTTTCACAATTTTTATTCGGATTCAACAGTAAGCAGTTTCATTGTATGACATCTCTAGTTAGCATCGTGAGAATGTAAAACTGTGCTGTTGCTACGGAACAATTTGCAAGGAGCGGTGACATTCAAGCACAATAGACACGGCTGCACTACAAGTACAACGAGCACTGTACATACGCAACGTGGTAACACAGCAAGCACAACATCTGAATTAAACAGTGCTAGGCCTAGCAGAAAAAAAAAGCAATATTTCAAAGAAATGTAATTGTAAGATTTTAAAAAATCGGCTCTACCACCTCAAATTATACAGCATTTACACTCGGTAAGATCTGCAAATATTAATTGGTCACAATTGTTTATGCTCACAACATAAGGCCCCGTCAAAGACTAATTGCATGCTTTTTTTCCCCCGGTGAACATGAGCCCCAATGTCCATTACCTGCATTAGATATTTTTTTTTAAACGTCTGCCGTCTCCAGACATGCAAAAATAAATGGCATTTCTTGTACATCCCCTACTTCTCTGATATGGAAGCATTGCAATAGTACAAGTGGAACACTGTAAATTAATGGGAAGAGAAATACTGAACCGCAGATGTGATAACTGCACGTGCCCTCAACTTCAAACAAAAAAATTGGTGAACATGACAATCCAAATCATTGCAAGTTGTGAAACCATTACCACAGCCCACTTATATACAAACACAAAGAACGGATGTACTTTCATAAACACAAGTGCTAACATTTGGTTTGGATTAAAGCAGCATACTACTTTGCTTCCTACAAACGTGACCAATTACTTTAACTTGCTGTGAATGTGTTTGTAGCATTGCTAAAGGTGTTCAATTTTAATCACCAAGGTCAAGTTATTAATTTTCAATCACTGCATCTGGATTGGCACAGACCAAATTCCTATTAGGAAAAGAAAATATACACGTAATAAAACATTCTTCAAATGGCGAATTCATTGTATGTCAATCCAACCGATCCTCGTGTGGTAAATGGTCGTGTCGTGTGTGTGTGTTTTGCCATAGCTACGTGGCGGGTTTGCATGCGTGCTGTCAATGAAGTAGAGTTTCCTTGCCACTCCGCCTATCGCAGGTCTCCATCGCCGTCGCCTTGGATGGTCTTCTTGATGCGCAGTAGCATCGTCGTGAGCCACTGATCCAGGCGCGAGATGGAGTCGTACTCTTTGACCTGTCATTGTACACACATGCCCCGACCACGCTTTGCCAACATGTTTACACTCTCGCACACCACAAAATGCTGTGTTGTCAGCAAATGAGAAGAAAGTTTGCATTGTAAGTCTGCTTCGTCAGCTGCCTCAAAGCAGTCATGTTTTGTTGCTTACCGCGTCCGTATAGTTTTCCAAATTCTGTTCTTCATGGGCGTCGAGCAGTTTCTATTGAAGCACAGAACATTGCCTTGTTAATGCAAGTTTATGTACAATGGTTGAAGTTTAATGAAAAAGGTAGACAGGAACTCTTTGGGCAAGAAAAGCTTACCTTAAGCAGCTTGCATTCTCGGGAGTCCGAGAAGACTGGGAACATTTCTTCATACTTATCCAGGGCCAGCTGGAACAGACATTTTAGAGCAGTCAATATGGGGTACTGTGGGAGCAATCATTAGAAAACATGATATGAGCTAAAATAAACAAAACAATAGCACCGAGCTAATATATGATTAATTGGGACTAAATACCCTGAATAGTTATATTAACGCATGCTACCAAACAGAACTTAACCTCCGCAATCATTTGTACTATATAAATTACTAGCTTTACTACCCAGCTTCACGTCTTGGATTAACACACGGCCTACGCGGATGGTTGAGGGGGGGGGCGTAACGTCAGCAGGCACACTGCGTCACGCTGCCGCATGCGGGTGACATCACAGATGTGACGTCGCCGCTCACTTGCCGTACAAAATATATCCATTATTGCGCCTCCCCCTCCAAAAAAATATACAAAAGTCTATCTTTATACTTTTTGCATTGTGTACAGTCTGGAAGCTACCCACATGCCAAATGTCAAGTTTGTTGCATGTTGGGAAGTACGCTAAACATTTCGAACAGACACATTCACAAATTTCCCTTTTATATATGTAGATTAATATCTATTTCATTTTTTGATTTTAAAGAAAAGAGTTAACAGATGCCACAATTTTATTATGTTTTATTTTTATTATTTTATTACTTCCCTTCTACGTGACTTTACCGAAAGAACCAAGAAGAAAGATGCCACAATTTAAATCGGGTTTTATTATAAATGCTAAATTCATTTACAAGAGAAAAAACACACTAAACTAAAGAAGACATGGTTTGATCACCCTTGCATACAGAAGTCGCCACGTGACCAACCCACTTGACCAACTGCCGAGGGCACATGCATCGGCTTGGCATCGGTAAAAAAAACTAATTGAGCTCAACATGGAATCATGTGAACAAACTGAGCAATGTTTCGCGAAAACCCACAAAACATAACTTCTTTACTTTCCTACATTGGAAAGTTCAAAACAAATTGTTGCCCACGTGGGGATGACAGAAGGCAAACATGTATTGTGGCATCTGTGCATAGAGTCCCTTTAACGTTATGCAACACACATGCCACCATACAAAACTATCTTTCCAAAGGTGAAACACTGGAGGGAGACCATGACAAAATCTTACCAAATAAACTTGAGTGTGACCAAAAAAACTAACCCATAAGGATGTATGTAAGGTGAACTTCTGTCACACGATATGTAGTTAACCGTGCTTTTCGAAGGTGCGGGGGAAGGACAACAAACTATGCTACATGGTACACTAAGCCTGGGACCAGCTGTGAGTACAGCTTTACCAAAAAGCCATCTGCTAATGCAACTCAATACAACCTGCAACACGTCATAAAGGTGTTTGGGAATGTGCATGCCCTACAGGTGTGAACGATAAGGTGCCAAAGACAGCCACTGCTCTGGTCTATTGGGTCACAATTGAAAATCAAATTCTGTACTTCTTGATCTCACAGCGTCAGCAAACTCGATTATTTAAACAGGAAGCAATCCTCATCTTTGAAGCTGCTGTCTTGACTTGATATTAAGCACCAAAATTGTCGGATTATCCACGCTTCTTTGCTTAATAATAGAACTGATGAAATCCATATGCCCTCCATCTCTTCCCCTTTACCATTCAAGTATTCCCATGGGCGCAAAGCTCAAATGATGAAGGCTCTGGTCTGAATTTTGAAGGCGTGGGGCTTGACAAACTTGTTCACTAACCAAAGGTCGACAATGGGGTAGAAACCCCTGCTTTATTTTGGGCCATATCGTGTCGTATACAGGCTTTGGACTCTCAGCAGGGGAAACTAAACAACAATCTGTCCACTCATTAAATCAAAGTGTTGCAGCAATCATGTTACATGGGGCTGGTGGAGAACACAAGATGGTCAGAGGGTAAATTAAGAGGGTCCGTCTGTGTGATACTGTTAAAGACCATTCTCTCATCAAGTGTCCCAATCACTCTCCCACTGGAATTAAGAGGGGGGGGGGGGTGAGGTTGTGAGAGAGAGATTGTTCCGTCATTTGGGGTGGTGATGGTTGGGAATTTCTTCGGAGCAGAGGGTGGCTGGAGGGGGAACCCCAATAGCCTTTGTTGACCGAGCACTGGCTTCAAAGTACAATATCCCCCCCCCTTGCCTCTTCCTCTGCTGTATAAAGGGGAAGAGTTCAACACTTCCGTTACAGGGACTGGTTTGCTTACATGCTGCCCTTTGATATCTTTTGAATAAACCGTTTGGCTCACTTTCTAATCCTTGCCCAGTTTGTCGTCAATGACCTTCAATTAAGCCACATTTTCAGGATCCAAGAGACCATCTCTGATGGGGTATCCAGCAAGACGTAACTTGGTGTTTGCAGACAGCTTCGTGCCCCACTGCCACAGTACCCTTCTGCAGACCACTGACGATGCTAGTGCCCCACTGCAACAGGTCACGACATCAATTCCTGTATTGATGCAGCAAGACGCTCCCCACTAAGAGATCTTCTAAAGCCGGTGTCGGGGGAAGGGGGGGGCAGCTCCTACTGAGACCCAAGTTTAATAAATGTAGCCACTGCCCGGATTTGCCCACGGATGTGGTGTGGCTTTGCTTGAGTTCCCTTTCAAGTACTCTGTCCAATGAGTTGCTTAAACCAAGAGGGCAAATAACCTGCATGCGATTCAACTTTCTGAGTGTAAATAAAACATAAAATGACTGACGGTAGTTGGTCATGTGGGTTAATAAAGCATTGTACCCAAAGGTGTTTAAACATGCTTTCTTTAGTGTTGGTTATTTCTATTTTGAAAACAAACTCTTAACATTTAGAATAAAATACGTTTATTCCATCCCTTCTATTGCATGATTGCAGAAGTTAGCTTATTTATGTGTTTAACCTGTTCTGTAGTCACACATACCACCATTTACCCATAAAAAAATTGCACAAGCTTCTCCCTGAATGGCATACGAACAATTATACATTTCACAGTTCTCTGGCAAACTGACAATTTAGTTGATTACATCTTTAAGTCCCATCTTTCAGTCAACCATTTAAAGCCCATTAGCTGAAGAGTAGGCAATTAATCCCTGCCATGTATAAGACTTAATTCGCGACTCATTGGGTGACGGTGAGGATTTGTGACTCGTGGGCATCCCACCTTAGTGTTCAGCATGTCGATGCAGAAATGGCAGAGCGCTGCTTTGAAGAAGTACTCTTTTGCGCTGTACTTGAGCAGGGTGCTGTCCATAGCATTGGTAGCGACCTACATGTCAACAGCGTCAGACCAAAAGCAAATGCACGGTTGGTGAAGACAACAATAATAGACCATAACAGGCTGTGAGACAATTACAGATATTTAAGAGTTTAACAATGCTTCCCTTTTTTTGTTGAACCGCAACACATTATATAACACTGACCGTATGTGTAATCAAATACAGTACATTATTTTGTCCTGAATTGCGAACCGTTTGACTTACGGACAAGTCCCAGGAATGGAA